GTAAACTAGTGTTAAAGTAAACTCTAATGTTGTGAACTCTAACAATATAAGCTATGAGCTATATATTACACGTTATTAAAATAACATTTTAAATTTAAATTTGATATTTGAATCGCATTCGAATAATTAGAATCACTCCATGGTCCTCTTATAATCACACTATGCTCGCAAGTATGTAACATGTATGCATGTAATATGGATGCATGTAACATGTATGCATGTAACATGTATGCATGTAACATGTATGCATGTAATATGGACATGCGAACCAATGTGAAACAGAAGGTGCAGGGTAAGGATTGAATTAAAACAATTTGAATGACACTGTGCTCGAATCTATGTTATGTGTAAATTCGCATCGGGAGTCGTAAATGCGGCCTGGGAGGTGCCAGGTTCATAATTGCATCAAAATCATTAGAATCACACCATGGTCATATTAGAATCAAGCTGCCCACTGCTGGATGAATGTTCTATCTCAGTGGGATCGAATAGCAATATACCAGTATGGAAATATATAAATAAAATTAAAACACAAAGCGCAACATTGCGCATTTTGACCGGTTTCTCGACACCGGTGCCTCGCCCATGGTGGAATCTTGTGCCGTTCCGGGCGTCAAGGGTTCGCACCCCAGCCTTGAAGGGTTAGGCAGGTCCCTGGCTTCTTCTGAAGACTATGAAAGGGCTCCAGGCACCGGTCCCTCGCACGTGAACAAACCCAATATGAGCTCGTGATATTTTGAATAGTTACAATTGTAATAACTCCAGAATCAGACTGTAGAGGGTTCTTTTATTTAGCCTTTAACACGGCTAAGGACCCCAGAATCACGATTTAGCAACGACAACGGGTGAGTGGGTGGGCAAGTGGGTTGGTGGGCGAGTGGCTGGGTGACTGAGCGGGTGGGTGGTTGAGTGGGTGGGTGAGAGAGTGGGTGAGTGTGTGGGTGAGTGAGTGAGTGAGTGGGTGGGTGAGTGAGTGGGTGGGTGGGTGAGTGTGTGGGTGGTTGAGTGGGTGGTTGAGTGTGTGGTGCCGGACGGGCAACTCTGTCATGGACAGTGCTGTGGGGGGAGGGCCAATGCCGATTGGCTTCTCCCATCATGGCGTCTATGACCACTACAGTGGCAAAACGGGGGCTCTGGACGGGTGTGATGTGCTGGTAACCCCTCCACCTTCAGTTAATTACCACTAAACCACGAATTAAATATGTAACGAATAAGCTTGTGCCGGAGGCCCTGGGGGACAGGCGTCTATGACGTCTCCTAGCCAAACCCCAATTGGCGGAGCCAGGAGATTTAATCTTTACTCTCGGGGCTTTTTCAGAAACAACGAAAAACCAATTCATATGGCCACGTGGAATGTTTAAACGCTCACTGCGGATGAGAGGCTGCCATTCCTCTGTCGGAAGCTGGACAGGTACCGTCTGGGTGTGAACAGACAACCATGCCCTGTCCCCGACCGCCCATGGAAGCATGTGTTCTTGCTGCCCCGTGTTCTTTTCATTAGCGGCTTGCGCTCTGGTGGGGAAAGATCTTAGTTATGAATCGTTTCGCAATGTTCCGGTCCCGAATCCCTCTGTAACATGTAAACTGATAACACTCAAGACAATAACACTAAACATTAAGCGACTTTAAACTTTCCACTAATTTTTCATTTATTCCACCATAAACGGAGGTACGATTTGAGAACGTTATTCGAAGTATTATAATCGCACTCGGCTCATATGTATGTAAAGTGAACGTTTAATCGAATCGGGGAACGGATATGCGAACTCTGGGGGTGCAGGGTTAGAATCGAATTAAAATTCCTAAATATACAATATGGTTTTATTAGCATTTTACAGTGCTTGAATGTATGTTGTGGGTGGGTGGGTGAGTGGGTGTGTGGCCGAGTGGGTGGGTGGGTGTGTGGGTGAGTGGGCGGGTGAGTGTGTGGGTGAGTGGGTGGGTGCGTTTGCGAGTGGGTGGGTGGGTGAATGGGTGGGTGGGCGAGTGTGTGGGTGTGTAAGTGCGTTAGTGGGTGGGTGTGTAAGTGCGTGAGTGGGTGGGTGAGTGGGTGGGCGAGTAAATGGGTGGGTGAGTGCGTGAGTGGGTGAGAGAGGGGGTGACTGTGTGCATGAGTGGGTGGCTGGGTGAGTGTGTGGGTGGGTGAGTGGGTGGGTGAGTGTGTGGTGTCGGACGGGCAACTCTGTCGTGGACAGTGCTGTGGGGGGAGGGCCAATGCCGATTGGCCTCTCCCCTCATGGCGTCTATGACCACCACAGTGGCTAAACAGGGGCTCTGGACGGGTGCGAGTGGCTGATAACGCCTCCACCTTCAATTAGTTACCACTAGACCACAAATTAAATATGTAACTAATACGCTTGTGCCAGAGGCTCTTGGCCAAACCCCAATTGGCGGAGCCAGGAGATTGAATCTTTACCCTCGGGGTTCCTCCAGAAACAACTAAAAACCACTTCGTAAGGCCACGTAGAATGTTCGAACGCTCACTGCAGAGGAGAGGCTGTCACTCCTCTGTCACGAGCTAGACCGGTACCGCGTGGATCTCTGTGGCATTCAGGAGGTCCGGTGGACCGGTTCTGGCTCGGCCTCTGTGGAGGAGGCTCGTGAAGGCCGCTACTGGGCAGTTGGAGGCAGTCACCCTCCAACAACAACGGAGGGTGGAGGAGCGACGCTCACAATAACGAGCAAAGCGCCGAGTGGCTAAAGCACAGCAAGTTGGCACAGTAGGGGGCACAGGTGGTGCATCAGCCAGTCATCTCGGTCATCTCAGTCAGTCGACCCGTGGCACCTGCTGGGTCTGCCCCGTGATCTCCTGCCGGCAGGCGTTCGACACTTCACGTGGCCTCAAGGTGCACATGGCCTGGCACAAGCGTCGTGGTGACGTCACCACTACTTAGTGGCGAATGGCGGTTGTTATTGAGTGTTTGGGTGGGTGAGTGTGTAGGTGGGTGAGAGTGGGTGGGTGAGTGGGTGAGAGTGGGTCGGTGGGTGAGTGAGTGGGTGGGTGGGTGAGTGGGTGGGTCAGTGGGTGGTTGGGTGAGTGAATGGTTGGGTGGGTAAGTGGGTGAGTGGGTGGGTGAGTGAGTGAATTTGTATTGCGGTGAGGGAGTGGGTGAGTGGTTGGGTTGGTGGGTGAGGGGGAGAGTGTTTGGGTCGTTGGATGGGTGAGTGAGTGTGTGTCTGAGTGAGTTTCTGAGTGAGTGTCTGTGTGTCTAGACACTGCCTGCTACAAACCAGCACTTGCCCCTCCAGCTTCCTTGAGGCTACTGGTGCCACCTTTGCCTCTATCTCTGTCTCTGTTCGTTCACGCGGAATCTCAGCAGTTTCCAATCCTCCTGACTACTCCTCACCCACTCACCCACACACTCACTCACCCACTCACTTACTCACCCACTCACTCACCCACTCACACACTCACTCACTCACACACTCAGTCACTCAACCACTCACTTGCTCACACACCCCCTCACTCACTCAAACACCCACTCACTCACCCACTCACCCACTCACACCTTCACACACCGACTCACTCACTCACACACTCACACCTTCACTCACCCACTCACTCACTCACGTACACACTCACACACTCACTCACACACTCAGTCACTCACCCACTCATTCACCCACGAATCCACTCATTCACTCACTCACACACTCACACTCTCACTCACTCAGTCACACACTCACTCACCCACTCACTCACTCATTCACACACTCACTCACCCACTCACTCACACACTCACTAATCTACTCACTCACCCAAGAACCCACTCACCCACACACTCACTCACTCACCCACTCACTCACACACTCACACACTCACACACTCACTCACACACTCACTCACCCACTCACTCACTCACACACTCACTCACTCACTCACCCACTCACTCACTCCCTCACCCACTCACCCGCTCACCCACACACTCACTCACCCACTCACACTCTCACTCACTCAGTCACACACTCACTCACTCACCCACACACTCACTCACCCACTCACTTACTCACCCACTCACTCACACACTTACAGACTCACTCACCCACTCACTCACACACTCACTCACACACTCAGTCACTCAACCACTCACACACTCACACCTTCACTCACCCACTCACTCACCCACTCACACACTCACTCACACACTCACTCACACACTTACTCACCCACTCACTCACACACTTACTCACCCACTCACTCACACACTTACAGACTCACTCACCCACTCACTCACACACTCACACACTCACTCACACACTCAGTCACTCACCCACTCACTGACCCACACACCCCCTCACTCACTCAAACACCCACTCACTCACCCACTCACCCACTCACACCTTCACACACCGACTCACTCACTCACACACTCACACCTTCACTCACCCACTCACTCACTCACGTACACACTCACACTCACTCACACACTCAGTCACTCACCCACTCATTCACCCACTAATCCACTCATTCACTCACTCACACACTCACTCACACACTCACTCACTCATTCACACACTCACTCACCCACTCACTCATTCACACACTCACTCACCCACTCATTCACACACTCACTCACACTCTCACACACTCAGTCACTCACCCACTCATTCACCCACTAATCCATTCACTCACTCACACACTTACTCACTCACCCACTCACTCACTCACCCACACACTCACTCACTAACCTACTCACTCACCCAAGAACCCACTCACGCACACACTCACTCACCCACACACTCACCCACACACTCTCTGAGGGTCTCTGTGAGTCTCTGTGGGTCTCTATGAGTGTGGGTCTCTGTGGGTCTCTTTGAGTGTGGGTCTCTGTGGGTCTCTTTGAGTGTGGGTCTCTATGAGTATGGGTCTCTGTGGGTCTCTATGTGTTTTGGTCTCTTTGGGTCTATGTGGGTCTCTGTATTTACTTGAGTCTCTATGTATCTCTATGCATCTCTTAGTATCTCTATATATCTCTATATATCTCTAATTATGTCTATGTTAGAGCCTCTGGGAAACTCTCAAATTTGCACATTCCACGCCCTGGGATCAGCTGATCCCTTCTCACGAGGTGCACACACACACAGATATACATTATAATCTGCCTGCAGCCTCTCTCTCTCGCTCTGCCTCCCTGTCTCTGTCAGTATCTCTGTGTGTACAGAGTCACAGCAGATCCAGCGATATCACCAGCATCAGTAAGTGTCTGTCTATGTGTCTGTGTGTGTCTGTGTGGGTCTGTGTGTGTCTGTCTGTGTGTGTGTCTGTATGTGTGTCTGTGTCTCTGTATGTGTGTCTGTGTCTCTGTGTGTCTGTGGGTATGTGTAAGTGTCTGTATCTGTGTGTGTCTGTGTGTGTCTCTGTGTATCTGTGTGTGTCTGTGTGTGTGTCTGTGTGTGTGTCTGCGTGTGTCTGTCTATGTGTCTGTGTGCGTGTCTGTCTATGTGTCTGTGTGCATCTGTGTGTCTGTGTCTGTGTGCGTCTGTCTGTGTGTATCTCTGTGTGTATCTCTGTTTGTGTCTGTCTGTGTGTATCGCTGTGTGTGTCTGTGTGTGTCTGTGTGTGTCTGTGTATGTCTGTCTGTCTGTGTGTGTGTAAGTTTGTCTCTGTGTGTCTCTGTGTGTCTGTGTGTATGTATGTGTCTGTCATCTCGGTCATCTCGGTCAGTCGACCCGTGGCACCTGGGTCTGCCCCGTGACCTCCTGCCAGCGGGCGTTCGACACTTCACGTGGCCTCAAGGTGCACTTGGCCTGGCACAAGCGTCGTGGTGACGTCACCCCCACTTAGTGGCGAATGGCGGTTGTTGTTGTGTGTGTCTATGTGTCTGTGCGTTTCTGTCTATGTGTCTGTGTGTGTCTGTGTGTATCTGTGTGTTTGTATGTATCTGTGTGTGTGTCTGTGTCTGTCTGTGTGTGTCTGTCTGTGTGTATCTCTGTGTATGTCTGTGTGTGTGTATCTCTGTGTGTGTCTGTGTGTGTGTGTCTGTCTGTGTGTGTGTAAGTGTGTAAGTGTGTGTGTCTGTGTGTCTCTGTGTGTCTGTGTGTGTATGTCTGTGTGTATCTGTGTCTGTCTGTATTTATGTCTGTATGTGCGTGTATGTATGTATGTCTCTGTCTGTCTGTGTGTGTCTGTCTCTGTGTGTGTCTGTCTGTGTGTGTCTGTGTGTGTTTCTGTGTGTCTGTGTGTCTGAGTGTGTGTCTGTCTGTGTGTGTCTGTGTGTGTGTCTGTGTGTGTGAATCTATGTGTGTGTTTGTGTCTGTATGTGTGCCTGTGTGTGTGTTTGTGTGTGTCTGTGTGTGTCTGTGTGTCTGTGCGTTTCTGTCTATGTGTCTGTGCGTTTCTGTCTATGTGTCTGTGTGTGTGTCTGTGTGTATCTGTGTGTTTGTATGTTTGTATGTATGTGTCTGTGTGTGTCTGTCTGTGTGTGTCTGTCTGTGTGTATCTCTGTGTATGTCTGTGTGTGTGTATCTCTGTGTGTGTCTGTGTGTGTGTCTGTGTGTGTGTAAGTGTGTGTGTCTGTGTGTCTATGTGTGTAAGTGTGTGTGTCTGTGTGTCTGTGTGTGTATGTGTCTGTGTGTATCTGTGTCTGTATGTATGTCTGTATGTGCGTGTATGTGTGTATGTCTCTGTCTGTCTGTGTGTGTCTGTCTCTGTTTGTCTGTCTGTCTCTGTGTGTGTCTGTCTGTGTGTGTGTCTGTGTGTGTTTCTGTGTGTGTCTGTGTGTGTGTCTGTGTGTGTGTCTGTATGTGTGTGTATGTGTGTGTTTGTCTGTGTGTGTGTCTCTGTGTGTCTGTGTGTGTCTGTCTGTATCTGTGTGTCTGTCTGTGTGTGTCTGTGTGTCTGTCTGTGTGTTTGTGTGTGTCTGTGTGTGTGTCGGTCTGTGCGTCTCTGTGTGTCTGTGTGTGTATGTATGTGTCTGTGTCTGTCTGTGTGTGCCTGTATGTATGTCTGTATGTGCGTGTCTGTGTGTATGTCTGTATGTGCGTGTCTGTGTGTATGTCTCTGTCTGTTTGTCTGTGTGTCTGTCTGTGTGTGTGTCTGTGTCTGTATGTATGTGTGTGTGTGTGAGTCTGTGTGTGTTTGTGTCTGTGTGTGTGTCTGTGTGTGTCTGTGTCTGCCTGTGCGTGTATGTATGTGTCTGTATGTATGTCTGTATGTGCGTGTCTGTGTGTATGTCTCTGTCTGTCTGTGTGTCTGTGTGTGTTTCTGTGTGTGCGTCTGTGTGTGTCTATGTGTGTGTGTCTGTGTGTGTGTGAGTCGGTGTGTGTGTCTGTATGTGTGTGTCTGTGTGTCTGTGTGTCTGTGCGTTTCTGTCTGTGTCTGTGTGTGTGTCTGTGTGTGTATGTGTGTCTGTGCGTGTGTCTGTGTGTGTGTCTGTGTGTGTCTCTGTCTGTCGCACAGGGTTCCGGTATCGATACCCACGACCTCCTGCGCACCAGGCGAGGTAGTCAACATCGACTGATAACCCCCTGAGGCTCCGCCCCCCTCTCCGTGGCCCCGCCCATCGCAACGCCCCGCCCCCCTCAGCTTTACGATGGGGGGAGGAGACAAAGACCATCAGCCAATCGCGTCGCTCGGATCCCCAGGGGGGCGTGGCGGTCCTTCCTATGAGGAGGGGCTTAGGTGAGTGAGTGGTTGAGTGGGTGGGTGAGTGAGTGGGTGAGTGGGTGGGTGAGTGGTTGGGTGGGTGAGTGTGTGGGTGGGTGAGTGGGTGAGTGGGTGGGTGAGTGGGTGGGTGAGTGGGTGAGTAGGAGGGTGGGTGAGTCCGTGGGTGGGTGAGTGTGTGAGTGGGTGGATGAGTGGGTGAGTAGGTGGGTGAGTGGGTGGGTGAGTGGGTGAGTGGGTGGGTGGATGGGTGGGTAGGTGGATGAGTGAGTGGGTGGGTGGGTGAGTGGGTGAGTGTGTGAATAGGTGAGTTGGTGGGTGCGTGAGTGAGTGGGTGATTGAGTGAGTGGTTGAGTGGGTGATTGAGTGAGTGAGTGGGTGAGTGGGTGGGTGGGTGAGTGAGTGGGTGAGTGAGTGGGTGAGTTACCGAGTGAGTGAGTTCGACCTCACGATCCAATGACGCATTATCACAGCTGATCCCCGCTGATCACCACTGATCACCGCTGATCTCCCCCCCCCCCCCCCCCACCGTGTGAGTAATCTCCAGGGCCGGTATCTCCATCCTGGGTCTGCTCCTCGCCCTCTCGCTGGGACTTATCTTGTGCTGCTTCTTGAGGACGAGGAAGAGATGGTGGAGGAGGTCGTGGGTGGGTGGATACTCTGAGCTGATGGAGCAGCACCAGCTGGTGAGTCAGTCAGGGTGGGAGGGTGAGTGAGTGGGTGGGTGAGTGGGTGGGTGGGTGAATGAGTGAGTGGATGGGTTGGTAAGTGGGTGGGTGGGTGAGTGGGTGGGTGGTTGGGTGAGTGGGTGGGTAAGTGGGTGGGTGGTTAAGTGGGTGGGTGGTTACGTGGGTGGGTGAGTGAGTGGATAATCTGAGCTGATAGAGCATCATCAGCTGTTGAGTCAGTCGGGGTGGGTGGGTGAGTGAGTTAGTAAGTGAGTCGGTTGGTGAGTGGGTGGGTGAGTGAGTGAGTGGGTAAGTGGGTGGGTGGATGATTGGGTGGGTGAGTGTGGTGGATGAGTGAGTGGGTGGGTGTGTGAGAGAGTGGGTGGGTGGGTGAGTGAGTGAGTGGGTAAGTGGGTGGGTGGATGAGTGAGAGAGTGGATAATCTCAGCTGATAGAGCAGCATCAGCTGTTGAGTCAGTCGGGGTGGGTGGGTGAGTTAGTAAGTGAGTCGGTGGGTGAGTGAGTGGGTGGGTGAGTGAGTGGGTAAGTGGGTGAGTGGGTGGGTGGGTGAGTGGGTAAGTGGGTGAGTGGATGATTGGGTGGGTGAGTATGGTGGATAAGTGAGTGGGTGGGTGAGTGGGTGGGTGGGTGAGTGAGAGAGTGGATAATCTGAGCTGATAGAGCAGCATCAGCTGTTGAGTCAGTCAGGGTGGGTGGGTGGGTGAGTTAGTAAGTGAGTCGGTTGGTGAGTGAGTGGGTGGGTGAGTGAGTGAGTAAGTGGGTGGGTGTGTGGATGATTGGGTGGGTGAGTGTGGTGGGTGGGTGGTAGGGTGAGTGGGTGGGTGGGTGAGTGGGTGAGTCAGTGAATGGGTGAGAGGGTGGGTGAGTGAGTGAGTGGGTAAGTGGGTGGGTGGATGATTGGGTGGGTGAGTGTGGTGGGTGATTGGGTGGGTGGTAGGGTGAGTGGGTGGGTGGGTGAGTGAGTCAGTGAATGGGTGAGTGGGTGGGTGAGTGTGGTGGGTGAATGGGTGTTGGTGTGGGTGGGGTTCACGATGGGCGTGTCGCTGGCTCCGCTCCAACTGGCTGTCGTTCGCAGATGGGCGGCGTTCCTCCTGTAGACCAATCAGAGGCGGGGGGGCGTGGCATCGTGCCTACAGCCCCCGTCCACAAGGGGCGTGGCTTCGAGGTGACCAATGAGGTGCGTGTGCTGCTACTCGCTACTACTGACAGCACTTTCCCCTACAGCCTGCTAGAGGCTACACGGGGAAGCTTTGCATGTGTCTGTATGTAACAGCACTTGCCCCTACATCCTGCTAGAGGCTACCTGGTAAAGCTTTGCCTTTGTCTGTGTGTAACAGCAATTGCCCCTACAGCCTGTTAGAGGCTACCTGAGGGAGCTTTGCCTTTGTCTGTGTGTAACAGCACTTGCCCCTGCAGCCCTGCTAGAGGCTACCTGGTAAAGCTTTGCATTTGTCTGTGTAACAGCACTTGCCCCTGCAGCCCTGCTAGAGGCTACCTGGTGGAGCTTTGCATTTGTCTGTGTAACAACACTTGCCCCTGCAGCCCTGCTAGAGGCTACCTGGTGGAGCTTTGCATTTGTCTGTGTAACAGCACTTGTCCCTGCAGCCCTGCTAGAGGCTACCTGGTGGAGCTTTGCATTTGTCTGTGTAACAACACTTGCTCCTGCAGCCCTGCTAGAGGCTACCTGGTGGAGCTTTGCATTTGTTTGTGTAACAGCACTTGCCCCTACAGCCCTGCTAGAGGCTACCTGGTAAAGCTTTGCCTTTGTCTGTGTGTAACAGCACTTGCCCCTGCAGCCCTGCTAGAGGCTACCTGGGGGAGCTTTGCATTGTCTGTGTGTAACAGCACTTGCCCCTACATCCCTGCTAGAGGCTACCTGGTAAAGCTTTGCATTTGTCTGTGTGTAACTGCACTTGCCCCTACATCCCTGCTAGAGGCTACCTGGTAAAGCTTTGCCTTTGTCTGTGTGTAACAGCACTTGCCCCTACATCCCTGCTAGAGGCTACCTGGTAAAGCTTTGCCTTTGTCTGTGTGTAACAGCACTTGCCCCTACATCCCTGCTAGAGGCTACCTGGGGGAGCTTTGCATTGTCTGTGTGTAACAACACTTGCCCCTACAGCCTGCTAGAGGCTACCTGGGGGGAGCTTTACCTTTGTCTGTGTGCAACAGCACTTGCCCCTATATCCCTGCTAGAGGCTACCTGGTAAAGCTTTGCCTTTGTCTGTGTGTCTGCAGATTTCACCTCCTCCATACGTGAAGACAGCTCCACTGGATTCACCACCGCCATATCCAGCTCACAGCACGGACTAACCACCTGTGGTGCCACAACTGCGGAGCAACTCCGCAAGCGCCGCGACTCCCTCCCGGCCCCTCGCACTAAACACGCGACCCGCACGCAGCGCACACACGTAGTGTCCTGGCCGGGGGTTGCCTGGCACATCGGGTTTTAATCCTAAAGGCCCCTAGAGGGATAGTCCCACGGTTTCCCGATGCCAGTAGATTGGCCAACACCCACAGGACAGGTGACATTGCGGTGCCCCAAATTGGCTTAAAATTGTACGGGGCGCAGGAAGGTTCCCTGGGCCATGTTGTATGTGTCGGGTTATGAAATTTTGATGAAAATAATAAAAATTAATAATTTTCCGAAAAATGCGCAAATCGCATTAATTATGATAGTGTGTGTATCAATATGCATAAATTATGATAATGCGTGTAATTATATGCATAAATTATGATAATCACGGATATAGTCGTAGTAATTTATGCGGATGTTTGCGATGATGTTAATGTGTGCAGTTATGATAATTAGGCTCGGTTTCGTTTATCCAGGGTTATATCAATCAGGATAACACGATTATCATCGATTAAACATTTGCTGATTATCTTAGTGTGTGTTATAATATTTTAGGTCACCAGTTCAGATCTCATCACAGGATACAGCTCTTATGAATAAGATGGTTTTGCATGGACTTGGAAAGAACACTCAATATGCTTCTGTGATAACAATTTTATTCTAACAAACACGTGACATTCTATCATGCAGGTCAAACATGCGTCAATAATTCATGGGCAAGATTATGCAATTAACTAATATGAACGACAAAAACTTATGCAGTTGCGAAATTATGCAATTATGCAATATGAATAACGAAACTCTTATGCATTTGACTAAAATGAATGAATAAACACTTATGCATTTGTGAAATTATGCAATTATGCAATATGAATAACGAAACTCTTATGCATTTGACTAAAATGAATGAATAAACACTTATGCATTTAACGAACTGAATGACTAAAAACACTTCTATCAATTGTAACCTCTACTTTTCCTACCAGGCATCTCATTAGTTCGCCCATGTATCGATCACAATCGGCGACTGGTCGAGTTTGAAAACAAGCATGACACACTTCCTATGGCGATAATATAGCACTTATTATACCCAAGAGGCGAAAGTATATGTCAATAGATTCATCGGCAAGTATAAAAATCCTCTTAACGGAATGTTTGATACAATGGTGGGTGAGGGCGTGTGGGCGCGAGAGCGAATCTGGCTCTGTTTTAATTAATTCTTCGGCGAGACTCTGGGACAAAGGAAACTGGTTTGACAAGATATTCTCTCTCTGTGTTCGGTCGATTCGTAATGAGGATTTCGAGAAGTTGAGTTTGCCTCGACGAGTCTATTGATCGCCTATGTGATGAGCGGAACAAGGGAAAGGCACGGTAAACAACCTCACTCTTATCACCGACGGACTCTTAATCACTCGATGGGCCACGATTCCTCGTGGCCAGCTGATGGTTCATGTAGTTGATAATCAGTCTTTCGATAATTGTGTAGGGTTGATATGATGGTAGGGACGAAATGGATAGTCTCAAAGGGGGTTGGGCGTCGACGCGAGCGCGTGTGTTCCTACGTGAGGGAAGTTGTGGGTACGAACGACTTTCGGAGAAGGGTCCCCTGGCTGTCGCGCTGCGGTGGTCGGCTGCTTCAGACTCCTCCCTCGCTGAGCCCGTACGAAGGTTGACGGCGCGGCTGCGCTCGTTTGCGTGGTGGCGGCAAGGTGGCGCAAGGTGGCGCACGGTGGCGCACGGTGGCGCACGGTGGCGCACGGTGGCGCACGGTGGCGCACGGTGGCGCACGGTGGCGCACGGTGGCGCTCGTTCAGCGATCTCCGCCTTTCCTGCGGGTTGTTCGCTGGTCGTCACTCTGACGAGGAGCGATGCTTCGTTCGTGGCAGGGTGGACGTTGGCGTCTTTGTTGGCTTCACTCGCAGCTCTGCGACTCGGGGTAGCGATTCTTCTCAGGTGGTGCAGACCTCGGCTTGTAGCTACGCGTCGCTACTCCGCGAACCTCGTCATTCTCAATGACGAAAACTTCTTGACGATCTGTGGTGGAGCCGAAGATGGGCTCGTGGCCCGGATGATCTGTGTTGGAGCCGAAGCCCGGACGAGATCTGCTTTGAATGGATTTTTCTTCGGTTTATATCTGGAAATTCCACTCAGTTTCCCGAGTTGTTCAAAGGCTGTCATAAAACCCTCCTGTGGGCTGAACCATCTGTGTTTGTTGTGTGTGTGTCCGTCCGTGTGTTTCGCGTGCTTGTTTGTCCGTGTGTTTATTAGCTTTGAAGACACAGCTGTGTCGTTCTGGAAGAAAGGGGTGGGGGTGGAGGCCTCGTGACGGCGCGGCTGAAGTTATCCATTAGCCAGACCGATGATTCGCGTCGAGTTATAAAAAAAAAACATTCGAATCCATGTTTTGTTACTGAATAATATTTGTCGCGAAAACTTACGCGTTAAGCGAGCTTAATTATTCCCTTCCTTGCTCTGGGAACACATCCTTTGTCTCACACAGCTTAAGTTGGTTTGGTTTGGAAGTTGAAATGCGACTTATTTGCTGCTTGGTTATGCCGAAACCGTGTTCACGATGTTTCATCGTGACCCGATCTCTCATGGAAATGTTATTTCCTCGCGTGTGCAATTTTTGCTGTCCGTGTTGTGGGGAGACAAAGGCGGTTGTTTCCACGGTGGGAGCACCCGGCGCATGCGCTTATTTATTTGAAGGCGTGTGTTAATTTCCTTTGAGCCCTTGCCCCAACCTTTATGGGTGTCATTTCCTGGCTTGGTGCCTGTGTGTGGAGATCCTCTCGGAAAGACAAAGGCGGCCGTGTTGCTCGCTTCCCATGGGTTGTTGTGTTTGGTTAATTTTGAGAGCCTTCTCCGTCCTTGATTCCTCTTCTACTTTAATTCCGTACTTATTATTTGACTTCTTGTGATTATTTAATCTGATATCCCGGCTTATCTTTGTTCAGAATATAATTATCTCTTCCTCCGTGATGCCCGGCCCTGCAACCCCCCGCCTGCCATTCCCCCCCCCCCCCTTCCCTTGTTCCTCTTGTGTGAATTTAGGGGAGTTTTATTACCTTATTGCCCCCCTTTCATGTCCTCTTTCCTTTGAAATGAGGTGTGCGCACATCTGTGGTAGTGTGGGGGCCTCTGTGGAAGTGTGGGGGCGTGTTCGTTCCACGTTGCCCCGTGTCTATTAAAAAAAACAATATTATATGTGATGGCAGAATAATCCTTAAAAAAAAAAATATTAAAAAAAATAAAAAGGGGGTACATACACAACAGCCAACCGCAATGAGTTACACACAACATTGTTGGGAGGACGGAGGGTGGAATATTAGGCATAAAGACCCTAAGACGCGAACTTCTGGGCCCGTGAGAACAATAGGAAAGGGGCGAAAAGAGCAAAAAAAACGAAGGCACGAACTAAGAAAACGATGGGTGGAGGTGTAACGGACGCTCCAGGTGAGGGCGGGCATCAGATGTAAATCGAAAGGTAGGCGCGTAATTGGCTGCGCGACGCCCCCCCCCCCCTCTCCCCCGGGCCTTTGAAGTTTAGAGTATAAAGGTGGGAGCCCCGGGATGATGGGGGCAGTTGTCTACAACCTTCGGGCCGTCACGATCCACTCCCTGCCTGCTGCCCTGCCTCCTCAAGCCGCTCACAGCATCCGTGTGATGCCAGCGAGTGCTGCTGCGAGACAGTGATTGGAACACGTTCTTTCGGAGTGGGCAGGTAGGAACTTGGTTGGACAGCGCATTCGTGCACGACAGACAGACAAATAATCCCTGGTGGGCAGTGTGGAACCTGTTGTTCCTACCTGTGTACAAGATCA